GCATTTAAAGCATAGTAGGTGCTCAATAAATATTTGTTAAAAGAATGAAAAATCACAAAAGTGAGACTCTGTAAAAAAAAAAAAAAAAAAAGATCTTTATGTAAAATTATCAGCCTAAGGACCTCCTCATTCTGCAGAAATGACTGTGTGAATGTTACAGATGAGCTAGAAACTTCTCCCTGTATAGAGGCTGAACACATGCAGCTGCACAGGTAGGGCTGAAGGTCTGAATGAACGTGTGGGATGAAGCAACACAGATGCCCAATGAACAGGAAAGATGGGGCGCTGGAGAACCCCCATCCTGCCAACCCAGGAGCTGCCAGACCCGGAAGCTTCGAGCTCTCCGCTGATTCGACGGGTGGGGGAGGGGGGCCTTGGCAGAATCTCCTGACTTCCCTGTTTGTCATCTATAATAGGGTATGATCATCATTACCTCACAATTTATATTTTAAAATATGATTTTAAAATGTTTGAACCACTATGAACGGGAGAGGCATAATAACGCCTGGCCCCCAGGACGCCGGAACAAATGTGAGTTGTTATTGTGACAGCTCGTGTTCAGCCTTGCGGTCCCTCTTATTTCTTGGATAATGCCAATTTCACCCCAACTTTTTTTTTTTTGGCCACACTGTGTGGCTTGTGGGATCTCAGTTCCCCAACCAGGGACTGGACCCAGGCTCCTGGCAGTGTAACCACTGGACCACCAAGGAACTCCCATGACCCCAACTTTTAAATCAAATGTTTATTTTGAAGTGCCAATATCTATGTTTCCTTCTCCAGAGGCAAGATGGCTGGGTGGCTGAAGGTGTCTGCGGGCCTTGTCCCCTTGGACTCAGGGGTCTGGGCAAGCCATGCATCCCCACCTCGCTGCGTTTCCAGCCCGTCAATTCTGTACAATTTGTCTAACTCTCTTCTTTACATACAACCCTGTTTCCACCTCTGAGACATCATCTGACCTGTATCATTGCCTAAAACACCTACCTGGCACCCAAACCCTCCCATCCTAGCCTTCAGAATACGATTTAAGCCCTCTTTCTGGGAGCCTCCCTAGGCCTCTCGGAAGGCCACTTTCCAAGCCCAATCCCCTATTGGGATTCTTCTTGTTGCTCAATATCAAGTGTCTGCTGGTGAGCAGGCCTGGGTCCTCTAGGTGTTGGTCCCACTGCCTTAAATGACCAGACCCTACAGCATGTGGACCATTTCCCTCTTTCTTAGCATCCTTCCCCAAGCAAACAACACGCACTTCATAAATGACTTTGGAAACTGGAAAGGGTGGGAAGAGGAGCCACATTCTTGCCTTGTCAGCCAAGGGTGCTAGAGGGAGGAGCTGGCCTTCAGATGGAGGGTCAGTGGATTTGTTCTCCAGGACCCAGGCTGCACAAGTTCTCCCCAGCTCTCAGCTCAGGGAAACCAGATCCCTGAGGATCAGCCTCGGACCCCAGCCCAGGCTGCTGCTCTCTGCATGCCCTCCTGAACACCTCGCATATACAGGCCTGGGATCCACGGGGCTGCTGTCCAGAGAGCCGCCACCTGGCCTTCGTCCACGGCAGTGGTGGGAGCCCCACACAGAGGGTGGCATCCCCAGCACCCGGCTCCAGCAGCACTTGTCCCAGCATCTCGCAAGCTCCCAGGCCCAGCACCTCCCAGTGTATGGCTCCCCTGCACCTGTGAGGGCTGACCCACTGGTACAGCCCACCCCTCAGTAACTTTTCTGCCATCCCATGAGGGACAGCCATGCCCTCGGCCATAACAAGACTCAGGCTTGGGGGCCTCTTCCCTGGGCACTATCTTACCACCAGGACCACTGGCTGTTCCCTCTATCAGCTCTTCTACATTCTGGGGAGTCCCTTCACTTTTACTGTGCAATCCCCCATGAGGAGTTCTTTACATCAAACTTGCCCTGGCCGAATCAGCTGTGGTTTCTGCCTCCTCACTGGACCCTGACAGATTTCACCCAGCCCCTGCATGAATGTCAAGGTCCTCTCATATTCTTCACCTTAGTTTTGCAAATCACCTCTAATTTAAGTTTTCCTAGGGGCCTGCACTTCCAACTGAGCCCTCGTCAACGTGGCACTGTGCATTGGACAGGAATCTGCTCTTCACCTGCCTGAGACACCAGCTGACTCCACCTGTGAAAACCCCACTTCAATACATAGAACTGAAATGTTCCTGGCATTGTAATGTTACAGCCAAACCTTGGTTTTCCAATTGTCAGGCTTTTAAAAGCCAGAGACTTCCTATCTTTATTTTCCATGGGGCAGTTCATATATTTCAGAATAATAATGTATGAACAAGAATTCAGGTACCAGAAAAATGCCTATGGACGTTAGGGAAAGAGGG